ACAATGATACCAGGCGTGATCCTTGTTAGTTTGAACATGTAAACCGTCAAAACACTTAACGTGGTACACAATAAACAGGCACGACCTCAAGTAAGTCATGAAATTACACATATTTGCACTTGTGAATTACACGCTTATTATGAATTACACGTATTTCAACTTGTAGCGTACTGATAAATGACAATTAATTTTGTGCAGAAGATCAATGTGACATCAGTCAATGCAGGCATTTACACTTGCTTCCAGGACCGATGTTGCTTTATATTACGGCATGGAAGGATGTCATTGGTGAAGGAAACTGTGGTTTTCGTTGCGTGGTTGACTTCTTCTTTGATGATTCAGCGTAATGGTTTACCGCTCGGAAAACAATAGCAAACGTGGTCGCTGCTCATCCAATGTTGTACGAAAGGATTTACGGGATTGGAAGGATTTGGATGAATGTAGAACATATTCGATGGGATGGTGGGGCGGTTGATATGCGGCATTGGATGGTAGTAATTCAAAATTTATTTCCTATTGCTACTTGGTTCAACGCAAGGGTGATTTGTCTCGGTATAGGCAACGTACCAACTTGCTACTACCCATGCATCACGGTGTTACTGTAGCGGGAACGAACAACAGTTAGGGCACCCACTCGAGAGTTAGTGATCGCTACAGTTGGTGGGTCACATTTCATCCGTCTTGATCTTGCACAAGATTCACTTCTTCCCCCAATTGCAGGTTGGTGGACCGAGCACCACGAGCCAAGTGTTGATGGATGGGATCAGCAATATAAAGTTATAAGGAACATGTGAGATGCATTAATTAGGTAGTGAACTTATTTATGTAATTTCACTAAGGTTGAACAATTGTAGCTATGTAATATAGATTAATAAAAGTAATTAAACCAATTAAGTTCCTACAAAACCAAATATAAAGGTGTCTAATTCTTACATCACATACTGAATAAAAAGTAATATAAAATAATGAAGACAAGTAATAAAAATGCAACCACTAATACGAATAAAGAGTAATCTACAACCCCATCATCGCCTTCCACGCGACATGTTGGGATACTCCTCTAGTGCTGTTGGTGAATCTCCATTGATTGACTCATCCACTACAAATAAGAAAGCAATATATTATAGAAATTACAATTACTGGAAGTCAGATTAACAGTATAATAAAACACCACTACTTACATAATCTGTGTTAATCCTCTCAGGTAGACTGCTACTTACAGCTGACGAACCCCCAGGAGATACAAGAGGGTGAGAAAATCTATACAACCACTGCATGTAACTAGGAGCGACCGCAGAAGCTCAACGACCAAGTCTGGTGTGGGTGCCTAAAACTACATCGAAAGACGAACTAGGGACAAACCTAGTCCACATCACAGATGTCATCTTGGTCGTAAATTCTACCCAATACATCTTCAAGTTGGTCGGTCTCTTGGCCTTCTCAAGCCTGATAATGCTCCATGGAATGTCCTGCACGAATCCAAGTTGTCGAACCACTCGATTAAGCATGTACGACTCAATATGCTATGGTACTAGATGCAGCCAATAAATAAAGTGGGTGGCACGTGTCGTGCAGGATCAACTCCGTACAGGAGCCAGTTAACCTCACGGTCAGTCAGCTCATCCAGTCTAGTACGAAAAGCTAAGAGGCGCTCCATGCTCTTGTTAGGGCATCTCGATCCAACATCCCAAGCAGACGCACGTGGGATATCAAGCTCTCTCGTCAAGATACCCTGCTGAGGCCGAAAGCACAGAAAGTACTCGTAAATCCACGCTTGCAGAAGTGTGAGACAACCAACGATCGAATCAGCATCTTTTCGTGATGCCGTACCCAACTGCCGATACTGGTAGGCTAGAGTAACTGAACCCCAAGAGTACTCATTAATCAGAACGCCTTCAACAACAAGCTCGTGGAGGAAGGAAGGAGGAGTGCGGTTACCACTCTTGTCTAAAAATAGTGATCCTCCTATTACTAACCACAACTATGCAGTATAATGGACACTAAAGGGCCTCTGCGCCTCTAAAGTTGTACCTAAAATCCTCTTAGTCAGCACCGCACTACCCTATCAAAAGGTTTTAGTACCGCATTTCTTATTCAACTCATCCGCAATCATATCCATGGTAACCGAGCACGCGTCCTGTATGGCGTCCGTGCTATGAGTAGTGGAAACTATGGAACCATCAACACGAAGCGCAAGAATATGGTACATATCGTGCAACATGATCGTGATCTCCCCAAATGGCATATAAAATGTGTTCGTATTTGGCTGCCATCTCTCAACAAAAACTGAAATCAACGGCCAGTCAAAACGCTTAAACATAATCTAGGGTAAGTGAGACAGACCACTGCCATCGATCAATTCGAGGTGCTCTTCTGCAAGAGGACCTCGCCAATTAACCAATTTAGAACACAATTGTGTCTTACTCAAACAGCGTAAAACATTTTGCTCCTTCCCGCCCCATATATAGGGGTGGCAAAAACTGACCCGACCCAAAAATAGCGGTTTAGGGTTGATAATTTCGACCCGAAAACTTAAATGGGTTGACACGAACCCGACTCAAAATTAAATAGGTTAGGTTAAGATTAAAAATTTCAACCCAAAAATGACCCACATAACCCGAAATTATTTTCGGGTCAAAATCAGGTCTAGTCAACCCGAACTCGACCATATAACCCGAAAAGGTCTTTTTTTTATTAAAAAAAATTACTTGGCCCAAGCCCAAATTGAAAGTTGAAAACTTAAAACCCTAAAAACTTATACAACCATTTTTCATTTTCTTCACATTTTCTCTCTCCTCAAATCTTTCATTCTTTCGTTCTCAATTACTCTATTTCTCATTGTGAAACCCTAACTAATCGAAGCCGCTGAATCCTCCATTCTCATCTGAACTCTCAAGTTCTCAACTCTCAAGCTCAACATCTCGGACTCTCAGCTCTCAATAGCTCAAAGGTAATTTTTAGTTAATTGTTTTTGTTTTAATTTCGGTTTTTTTTTTCGATCTCAAGTTCTCCATTCTTGATTTTTTTTATCTCCAGTTCTCCATCTTCAAATCTTCCTCTCCTTCAAGCCGTTAAAGCTCAAAAGTAATTTTCTGTTAATTGTTTTTGTTTTCGTTTCAGTTTTTTTTTCTTTTTTATTTTTTTTAAATACAGTTAAATTATTTTATTTTTTTTGTTTCTCTTTCTTGATAATAATCTTAATATGCCTAAAATTTTTGTTGTTAATTTCTATTGTTGATTTTATTTTTATTTTTATTTTTATTTTTTTTGCGGGAAAGGGTAGATTTGTTGCTGGTTTGTTGTTTGACGGGAAAGGGTATTTTGCATGTCTTTATATTTTGATTTTTAGTTCTAATTTATATTGTTTTTCATGTAATTTTTAATATATATTGTTGTTCTTGTTCATATAATTTCTGATTTTTAGGTTTAATTAATATTGTTGTTCATTTACTTTATGTTGCATTTCTGTTCTTGATAACGAATCACAGATTCACAGCCTAACATCATATACTTCATGATGTTCATTTCTGCAGTTTATTTTTGTAGTATATTTTGCAAGTTTGTGAGAATGTAATTATTGTATATTTGTATTACTAGTCATTTACTAATTACTACTAGATTAGTTTTTATCTTGTTTTAAATGTTTTATTTTGTTATAATTTTTGGCAGTAATTATGGACACCCATGTTCAACAGCTTTCTTCTGGGGAAGAGGAGGAGATTGACTTTACAATAAAAGACAAAGGAAAGGGTAAAAACCAGAAAACTTCTTCTGATAAACCTCATGTGATTCTTACTAGTAAGAAACGTCAACGTCGGCTTTCTTCTAGTGTTTGGGTGCATTTTGAATTTTTAGATGAGCCTGATGAAAATGGTAATCTGATTTGCAAATGTAAATAGTGTGGTTTACGTTTTAATGGTGATAGTAAGAATGGAATTGGGAGTCTTCATCGTCATTTGAAAAATTGTAAACGAAGGTCTTTTATGGATGTTGGTCAAATGATATTAGAGAAAAAATCCTCTAGTTTAGGAAAAAGATTGCCTGACTTTGATGCTGATTATTTACGTGAATTATTGTCTCTTGCTATTGTGTAGCATGATATGCCATTTCAGTTTGTAGAGTTCAAGGTTTTAGGAGATGTTTTATTTATTTGTATCCTGATTTCAAACCTGTCACTCGAAATACTATCAAATCTGATGTGCTTAATATGTATAAAAGAGAGAAAGAGAAATTAAAAGCAGTTTTGGGTTCAACTTGTAGTAGAATTGCATTGACTTCTGTTTGTTGGACTTCTATAACCACCAATGGTTATATTTCATTAATAGCTCATTATGTTGATAAGTCTTGGTGTTTGCAAAAAAAGATCTTGAACTTTTCTTACATTAGTCCTCCCCATACAGGAATTCATTTATGTGATCATGTGTATGGTTTGTTAAAGGAATGGGGCATTCAGAAAAATATTATTTCAATTACATTAGATAATGCTTCTTCAAATGATGTTTTTGGCTGAAAATCTAAAAGGGAAACTTGAGTTGATTAGTGGTGGGGAATTTTTTCATGTAAGGTGTTGTGTTCACATTCTTAATTTAATTGTTCAAGATGGTTTAAAAGATATTGATGAGGCTTTGTATAAGATTAGAGAGAGTGCCAAGTATTTTAAGAGTTCAAAACCTAGGAAACAAAGGTTTTTAAGTTTGTGTATCACATGTTGAAATTCAATCTACTAGAATTCAGCTTACATGATGCTTGATTGTGCTTTGTATTTTAAAAATGCTTTAATTCACTTTTAAAAAGTTTATGTCAATTATGTGCATTTTCCTTCTACGGAAGAATGGGGTAGAGAAGAGAAAATATGCAAGTTTTTGAAAGTTTTTCATGATGTCACACTTGCCTTTTCCGGGACCAAATATCCAACTTCGAACCTCTACTTTCATAGAGTCTGGCAGGTTAGGTTGTTGTTACAAAATGAAATGAAAAGTTTAGATATTTTTATTCAAAGAATGGCTTGTAAGATGTATGAGAAATTTGGAAAATATTGGTCAGAATTTAGTACATTTATGGCTGTTGCTGTGGTGTTGGATCCACGATATAAGTTGCAATGTGTCAATTGGGGTTACATGAGGATATATGGTCATCATAGTGTTGAATATGAGCTCGAGTTCTCTAAGGGTAAGGATGCTCTACGGGGGTTGTACGAGGCTTATGAATCCTCTCATTCTTCATCAAGCAAAGCTATTCCCATTACTAATGCTTCCGATGTTGCCAATGAAGCTTGTGAAGATTTTATGATGGTAAACACTTGTGACTTGTTCGGTTGTTCCTTGTACTTAAGAATTAAGATTATTATATGAAAATCATAAATTATAGAAGTTAAAGATGTTGATTGCATGTCTTGATAATAATCTGATATTCATATAATCTGAATTTATTGTATTACAATCTGATTTTTATTTTCTGATTTTTTATGTCATGCTACTCATGTAATCTAATCTTGGTATATAGGATTTTGATAATGTCTCTATGGAGCAATCAAGTGTGGAAATCAAATCTGAAATTGATATGTATTATGAGGAGACACTTATCCCTTGAGGCACCAACCTTGATAGTTTGTCTTATTTGATAACTTGTTCGGTCCGTTATCCTATATTCGCTAAAATTGCTAAGGATGTTCTTGTTGTTCCCGTATCAACCGTGGCCTCTGAATCAACTTTTAGTACTGGAAGTCGGGTGCTTGATTATTATAGAAGTTATATAAAATCAGAAACGGTGGAGGCTACCATTTGCTTAAGGGATTGGGACATTGGGGAAGGTAAGAAATGATTTAATATACAAGTAATGAAGTAATGCAATACTTCTAACTTTTATTTTTAGTGCATGTCATTATTATTGATTATAATTTGCTATCTCTTTTCTTGTAGCAAATATGGATCCTCAAATGGAAATTCTATGTGGATCAGTTATGAAGCTTAAGGTGGGGGACAATGATGACACACCACATACCTTGCCCGAACTTGAACACTTAGATGAGAGTCCAAATGCTTCTTCAAACATTGTTTGACTCATGAAGACTATGAAGGTTATTTAAAAACATTTATTTCTTTTTAATTGTGGTTTGTAATTTGTTAAGACTTTATTTTGGTATGTAATAGTTAATTTAGGCATTTAGACTTGTTAGACTTTATCTGGTTTTCTTGAAAACTTTAAGTTTGAAAATCATGTTTGAAAACATTAGGTAAAAAAAAAAATAAAAATCTGGTTTTGTTAACTTTTAAGTAGTCAAAAACTCAAAATCAGGCTAAAAAATAAGGTTATTCAGGTAAAAAAAAAATTTTAAAAATCAGGTCAAATCAGTTCGTTTTCGGGTTAACCCGAACCTGAAAATATCAGGTTCAGGTTGGGGTTTTCAACCTGAAAATTTAAATGGATCAGGTTCGGGTTGGGGGTTAGCTGACCCGAAAGTAGGTAACCCAAACACAAACCCGACCTGACCTGATTCGTTGTGACAAACCCCTACCCATATATATGACGCCACGTGATCACCAAAACTAGGGATAATAGTACCATCCTCAAGACCACCTGGCATCGGCTGCTGCACTAACCATGTCTCTGTTGAGCTGGTAGTAGGTTGACTCACTTGACTACTAACAAATCTCCTATGATGACTCCTATATACCGTATGATAATCTTGAGGGTTCAACTCTTCGTCTCGATCATCATGACTTGCCCGCTCTTCGTCCTCATCGTCAGATGTAGGCAGTCCACTCGACGAGTACATGGGACGGCTCCCTTGTGACTGATGCTCTCCCGACCACCTACTAGGAGACCCATATTGCTACTCATGACAAAGTGGCGCCCCCATAATTATTTAACAACATGACTCCCTCCTAACAGACGCATTCAAACGTCGTGATATTGCATGACGAGCACCCGAACCCTCAATCTACATTAAATAAGTACAAAATCAAATATCAGTAATAATTACAAATATAAATATTTGATTTAATTTGAACAACAAATATTAATATTCAAAAAAAATAATTTCAGAACAACATCATCATCAAAAACATTATTAATAATAATAAGAACGATAATAATAATAGTAATAATAATAATAATAATAATAACAATAATAATAATAATAATAGTAATAATAATAATAATAATAATAATAATAATAATAATAATAATAATAATAATAATAATAATAATAATAATAACAACAACAACAACAACAAAAACAACAATAATAACAATATAAATAACAATATTAATAACAATGATAATAATAAATATAAACAACATATTTCGCAACATACTAACAACAACAAAAACAACAACAATACTAATACTAATAATATTAATCAGTTTTTTTAAAAAAATTAATCACGAAAGAAAAAAATAGGACTTTCGCCTAGATTTCCGGATGAACCAAGGAGGATCCGGAAATTTCAGACTGATCCACCTTGGACTTCCGGAATTTTAGGCGGATCGGTAGATTCGCCAATATATCCAGATGAACCAAGGAGGATCCAAAAATTTCATGCGGATTCTCCTCGGACATCCGAAAATTTCAGGCGGATGTGTAGATCCACCTACAAATTTTGGATCTACCTTGGTTCTTCCGGAATTTTCAGGCAGATCCTACCTATTGCGATTGTTTTTTTCGATTTAAAGCCATACCTGGTTGCCTTCGGTGCCACCGCCTCGACTACAATACGTCACCCAGATTCGTCGCTGGTCCGCCATCGCCGGATTTCTACTCGCCTCCTTGGATTGGTGGTTGTCGGGTTGGGTTGTGGATGTTTACTTTTAATTTTTATTTTTTTTATTTTTTTTTAATTTTAGAGATATAAAATGAGAGTGAAGTATAAGAGTAAAATGTGATTTCAGAAATGAGTGTTGTTAGTGTCGTGAGTGAGTGTCGTGGGTATTTATTTACGAGGGGTAAATATGGAAATTCATATTAAAAAAGCGAGCGATGCCTAGTGAAATGGGAGCGTTGTTTAACAACCCCCTTGATAGTCATGGAGTCACATTCGCTCGTATTGGCCTCTACTCGATTCTTATAGTGAAAAGTATATTCGTTATCTCAAAGGCATGCAAACAAAGATTCAATTTGCTCCAAACTCTTATTAAGCTAAATTGGTAGAATGTTAATGCAACATATAATTCTAAAATATTGTGATCACTTGTTACATAACAAAATTAAAAAGCAACCTAAACCGCGGTCGCCCAAATTATCTTATTAAGAGTTATATTTAATTATATAATCCCTTTAAACATGCAATATGGTGATCATTAATAAACAATTGAATAAACATCAACAATGGAAGCAATTTAACAATAATAATAACGATTAGTATATGAAAAATATAATATGAATCATTAGAAATATAAAAAGAACAAAAGAAACATGATTCCTTACTTTGATTGTGTTTGCTTGTAATTATAAAACAATAAACGCGTTAGTAACTTCAAGGAAAATAATAAACAATAATGGAAATTAAATTAAATTAAACTAGAGTTGATTTAGGGCCAAATCCTCAAACAGTTCTACCTTTCACGCTTTGGTTTAAGTGTAGAACTTCAGGAAAAGTACAGACTCCGGGGAGTGCTTAAGGGATGTATTGTGAGAGAATAAAGAAGGCTAGTGTTTAGGCTATAACATAAGAGAGAAAGAGAGAATGATTTGGTTTCTCGAAACTGAGGAATTAGCCTCGTATTTATAGACGAAATGAATAGGGTGATGCACGAAACGCTAGAATTAAAATGTGCCGCAAAGAAACCTTAGAAAATTGTCGCATCACGAGAAATTGCCGTGACACGGTGCAATTTTCCATGACACATCAGAGATTGTCGTGGCGCGACATTTTTGCCGTGAGACGACAATTCCCTTTTTTGGAATTTCGTCCAAATTCATTTTAACCTTTTACTTAACATTTAAGCATGTGATAATTAGGCGCCGTTTCAGAGTTCTGGACTTATTTAGGGTTTAATATTTATTAATTGGGCTTAATTAATGATGAAAACGAAATGAATTTAAAAGGGTTTGGGCTGAAATGTGAATTGGACTGAGCTTTGACTAAACATTTGGACTAATCTGTTGACTAATTTGTAAGCTGTGTTGACAAATGTGGATTTTAAACACTCCCGAGATTAAATACTTAACCCGACCAATGATGGCGGTGAAAGGTTGTTTATCATCAGGTTTGGTTTTAGGGAGATATTTTTAGATGTCTACAGAAGCCCCCACTTTGACTGAGTTTGTAGAAACATAATTAAGTTTCAAAAACGATAGTAAAAGTAGTCGATTGGGACGAAGAATGATTTAAGACGTTCTGCGATCCTAAATCACTCTGTATACGCCGGTACCTACAGAAAAGTGTGAGTTCCACAGATAAGAGAGTAAGGGTATAGAATGCGTATCTGACACCAATGTATCAGTGGCAAATATGTTTTGTAATTTTTCATGCCTCGAGAGATCCACTGGATGATAATTTTCCACGCCTCCGGAATTCTATTGTAAACCACTACATCTCGAGCGATCCACTAGAGAAAAGGTGACAAGCTTCCATGCCTCGGGAAACATGTAGTAGACTCCTACGCCTCGAGCAATCTACTGAATGATGATCTTCCACACCTCGGGAAGACTAGTGATATGAGATAGTTTCCATGTCTCGATAACCCTATCGTAAGCTCTTACAACTCGAGTAGCTCACAAGTGAAATTCCATACTCCGAGAATAACACTAAGTGTCCAAGCCTTGGGACACAATTGCTGACTTATACGCCTCGAGAAGTGTGCAATGATTGACAATTTTCCACGCCTCGGGAAAAACTTGTCTGATGATGGAAAATTACAAGTCTCTATGCCTCGAGAACCTTGCAACGAGAATCGTCCTCGCCTCGGGAGATGTTCACTAGTTGTTTGATAAATGTCTTATGAAAATTGTTCGATTGTCCCTGAACAGAAACTCCAGTATGTTTTGTTGATGTTGAGACCTTCAAACCGAGTATACTCAACCGTATTAGGTGTTTGAAATGATGAAAATATGACATTGGGAAGTAAAATCTATGCCCATTTACCTTGGAGAAACTCTGCGTGGTCTTGATGAAGTAAAATCTAACCAAAAATCCGTCATGAAGGGGTCCCTGGGACTATTACAGGAAAAAACAAAATTCTTGATCTTTAAATCAAAAATACTTATTTTTTTAATGCGACACTAATCATCTGCATTTTTATTTATTTATTTATTTTTTTGCAGATTTGGTTGATGGAACGTTTAGGACTTTTTGAAGCCCCCAACGATATTGAAAAATATGGTCCCAATGATCTTCGCAAGGAGAGAATTTTCCCTTAGGTGCGTGGTGCCTTGGTGGAGGCTTACGAAGATGATTGGGACGAAAGAAACTCCATATTGTTGAGTTCCTAGCCTTTCAAAATTGACTTTTTATTGTCCTTCCCGATTGATGCGACAATATGGACTTGAACAAGTAGTTCCACGATGATAGTCCTCGTGAAGTATATTGTATGAAAGTAATGTTCACAAATTTGAGGCATACTAGATTGAAAGGCCAATGTGGACCATTTCTGCGAGCGATCAACCTCCTCCACCCTTATCTAGTAAGTACAAAGCTTGGTTAAATCCTCGAAGTAGGAGGGAACGAGTTGGATCACGCAAGTATGATGGTGATGTGAAGGGACGACTTGGAAGAAAGAAGGCGCCCCCCAAAGATCGTCTTGATGCGAGATCACAAGGAATTGAGTTTAAGACTCCTATCATGCCTAGGAAGACGAGTTGGGTAAAAGGAAAGGATAACGAAAAGATGGTTTATAGGGAGAAGCAACCTAAGAATTATGAAAGAGGCGAAAGGGGTTAAAGTTATATTACATGTGTGACGGTTCGGGCTACTAAGGATGCACTAATGGTGAAGGCCGACATGGTTGAGAAGAAGAA